CTGTATCAGAAGAAGCAGTTAGTAATTTTTTTTTCTCAAAAGGATCCTGAAACGTCACATATAAACTGAAAGCCACAACACAGGAGGGTACAGCCTTATGTGTTCTGAAGTTGTATTATAATGTATTGTGATATTTTGTCATACTAAAGCATGAAGTAGCTTAAATAGAATAATGCTGCTTCGCTAGTTATGGACGCGATTGACGACTCAATGCAACCAACAGAGCAAGGTGCACACTTTGGATCTTAGAGAGTTTATGGTAAAAATATATGCTGACAGCACCAAATAATATGGCGGTTTACATGACAGGCTTACCACGTGAGCACAACATGACCTTCTAAGTAAATGGGTAGCGTGACCAACAAACCAAAATCAAGCAACTGGCAAAGTGGGGCAAGCAGTACATTTGAAACACATAGAAACACAAAGGTGGCTCCTGGGATTCGAACCCGGGCCTCTAGATTACGACCCCAACGCCATTTTGTAATTGCCGAGCCAAAAGGTCCAGGACCCATTGGAATGAGTGAGTTAGTGGCGTCAGTTATTGGCAACTGTCACATATGGACAAAAAACCTCACGAAACAGTGAAGTGACAGGCAAGGCTGTATAAGGCAGAGGCATACCGGTGGTGGGCTGGCGTCAAAACGTAACCAGAGAAAGACTCCACAGCTGATACATGACCCAAGGACCACAGCCGCATACAGTAAAGCTAACGATAGTCGGCGAGGTTGTACTGAAAAAAAGGAAGTTTGTAAATCAAACATTCAATTCAAACCACTGAATTGATGGCCGGATAGACTGTTTATGTATGAGTATGAGCGTTGGCACTGTGGAGATGATACAGGTCCTATTATTATTATTATTATTATTATCATTATCATTATCATTATCATTATCATTATCATTATCATTATCATTATCATTATTATTATTATTTTAAAAATGGAGTAGGTGAATCGTCGCAACAAGTACTCTTTTAGACACGATACGGTGAAGAGATACGGAAATGATACAGAAATGCCACATAGACCTAGATTTCCCATACACTGTTATTAAAAGGCCTGGTTCTTCTATATCCATCTATAGCTAGTACATGTATATCTTTGTACCATACCAAATAAATGCGGATAGACAACTCATAGAACAGTTTTTGATAATATTTTGCAGTTGTTATTGTAGGATTGATTGACTTCATAGCATAACTGCCCAGCAATTGGGATTATGACGTTTATAAAGTTCTTACCGCAAGTTGGACAATGCTGGACGTTTGGCAAGTACATCGGATTCGGATTAAGGCCATTCAGGATATCATGGATGTTGTTTGAGGCCGCTGATGGTTGATTCTGCAAAGGCGGTGTCGTCCGATCGTCCCCGGAAGCTGTGCTGCATACCATGTCATCCTGGCACATGTATGCGGTGGCATCTGGTTTAATGCTTTCATCATCAGAGGTGATACTGGCTTTTGCGGCTGCCTCTTCATCTTGCAGGTCTGTTACAGCATATGGCTGAAGGCAATGGTTGCCATCGTTGTTAGCTGGACTAGAGTTTGCTTCACCATCTTGCAGGTGAGTTACAGCATATGGCTGAAGGCCATGGTTGTCATCGTTGTTAGCTGGACTAGAGTTTGCTTCACCATCTTGCAGGTGTGTTACAGCATATGGCTGAAGGCAATGGTTGTCATCGTTGTTAGCGGGCCTAAAGTTCGCTCCATCACCTTGCTGGTGTACATCAGCTGATGCCTGGGTACAGGGAAGGTCATCATTCTCATATGGCCTGATGGTGGACTCAGGGCTGGCGTTGGGAGGTTCCACGGGGGTTTGCAGATACATCGGATTGGGGTTAACGTCGTTTCTGACGTCCATCGGATAAGGGTTGATGGTGTTATGTGGGTAAATCGGATTTGGATCCCTGGTTGGTCCGAAGCTTGCATTTGACTCAATGGTGCTTTGTAGGTACATCGGATTGGGGTTAACATCGTTTTTGGCGTCCATCGGATAAGGGTTCATGTTGTTATGTGTGTACGTCGGATTTGGATCCCTGGCTTGTGTGTGCATGCTGCTATCGCTTCCCTTGAAAGCTGAAGTATCAGTTTCATTGTTGTCGGAGACACAGGTTGCCAATTGGCTGTTTGTTCCCTGACAGGGTTTACCATTCGCCTTTTCTACACTTCTCTCCGCACAGATGTAATGGTCCTTGCATATGTATGCAATGGCGTATGTATCAAAATCGCCAGGACTGATTGTCTGTCTGGTTTCGATCTCAAAAGCAGCATCGTTTTTGATAGACTGCTGTTCATCGTCCTCACCGTGTTCACTTTCCTCACATTTACCAGAGATGTTACTCTCAGCATCTTCGTCAGCTTGCTTCAAGTTTGGTGACACCTTTTCTGCCAAACTTTCACTCAAGATGTCGTTTCTGACGACCATTGGTATGGCGTTGAGAGAAAGGTCCTCATCCATTGCCCCGAGACTTCTTAAAGACACGCTAGTATAATAGCAAGACAACTTATTTTCACAGCCACTACCATGAACAGCGTAGTCGGTACCAAGGAAAATGTAGCCTCTACCATGTGTAACCAGTACCATGGACAATTCAGTCAGTACCAAAGACAACACAGCTAGTACCATAGACCATGTAGTCAGTATTATTGTAGTCAATGTGCCAATGGCAATGTGGTCTTACAAGCTTAATATAATAGAAATAACAGTATCAATACATGTACTATGCAATTGTATTTTAGGCCACACCGAGTGAATTTTATGGATGACGTCCTTTGGAGACCCTAAATCTAATGCGAGAGGGCGAAAAAAAACAAGAAGGGCCCTAAAAAACAAGAGGCCTAGATCAGAAATATACTAAGAGATGGCAAATGTTAGGACACAAATTGAATGAGGTGACACAGTGTAACAAGCAAGAAGTCTTTTGTTCATCATCAAAACAGCAATAAATCAGGCGGAACAGCAGTTGTCTTCCTGTCCTGTTTTCGCCTTATGGGTTTCAAGTCAATCTGACGATTTGCGGCACTGTCGTGACTCTTTGGTCATAGTTACAGGAAGTGGAGTTTCTTGTGTTTTTTTCTAGGAACTAGGCCAAAATCAATGCGCGCGTGGACG